TTTTCTGTTAAATGTATATATTGGCCCGCCGCCTCTCATGCGAATTGATGTTGGAGATAAGAAAGATATAAATCTACGGAAGGACTTTTAGTTGAAGTTATTGAGTAGTAAAGATCAGTGGAACTTCCAACTATTGGGGCACGTGTAACATAACTAATATTCTTTATGATGCTCTTGATGTATTGAATCTTGTGCTTATACAGCGCAAAAGTAACCAATATTTAGTGAAAATATATAATTTATATATTTTATAATAATGATATTGGTATTTGTTTGGGTATTGATTAATACAAAGCGGTAATTATTTCCAAATGCACTTTCATGCGCACACATGCACGCACGGACGCAGGCACGCACGCAACTATTACATTTTACACCAAAATGAAACATCCCCCAAAATAATTTCTTCCTCTACAGGAAATGGCAGGTAGCAGATAGCTTTTTGGAATATGGAGCTCTCTGCCCAAAGTTAAGTCATACTGATAACCACGTGTCGACTTATTAGCGTCTGATCTCTGTCATGCCTCATGGACTGCCGGTCTCAATTCTTCAGAAGAAGCACAAGCTGATGATTGCCAAGGTTATCAAAATGTGGCACCATGGCTGTATCCAGTACTTCCTGTCGATAACGTTGGCCATGGTGTGTCACAGATACGTTAATGAGATCCTACTGGCAGCCATACGAAACGCAACCACACCACCACCAAAGGTTGTCCTTGCAACCATCAATAAGCCAATAGCATACTTCATGTTGCTAATTATGCAGCAAAACGTGCCCATGAAAAGATTATGATACGAACAGTCAAAGCATGCCCATGAAAATATCGTGTTACGAACAGTCAAAGCATGCCCATGAAAATATCATGTTACGACAAGTCTAAACATGGCCATGAAAATATTATGTTACGAACAGTCTAAACATGGCCATGAAAATATTATGTTACAAACAGTCTAAACATGCCCATGAAAATATCGTGTTACGAATAGTCTAAACATGGACATGAAAATATCGTGTTACGAACAGTCTAAACATGCCCATAAAAATATCGTGTTACGAACAGTGTAAACATGCCCATGAAAATATCGTGTTACGAACAATCTAAACATGGACATGAAAATATCATGTTACGAATGGTCTAAACATGCCCATGAAAAGATCATGTTATGAACAGTCTAAACATGCCCATGAAAAGATTATGTTATGAACAGTCTAAACATGCCCATGAAAATATCGTGTTACGAACAGTCTAAACATGGACATGAAAATATCATGTTACGAACAATCAAAACATGGCCATGAAAATATCATGTTACGACCAGCGGCTGCAGATGTTGCAGTACTTGCAGTTACGCCATCCCACCAACGCATGTAGCCAAAACGAAAAGGCTTACCAAGCAGGTAATATATTCAGTCATTTCTTCCACAGCCTAAACTGTGTGATACAGCAGGAAAGTGGTAAGTTCCCTAAAGGACGACACTTCACCAATCATCCAAATCTTCCCAGAAGTTGGTCTCTCGTGTCTGCAGAAAGGGTTTAACAACATATGCAAGTGCAAACAACCCTCAAGTAAATGCACAGGACGTGGTGTGTGGGCCAGCATTCATAATATTGACTCTCCTTTATTTTCAAGACATTTAACCAGACTATGCGGGTCATTATTGTTTTGGTTAAACTTTCCCTTTAGTACACTGAAGGCCTCTCCAAAGCTAAAACAGTAGCCAGAATAGGCAAAGTAGTATTTAACTTCTGCGCATGTCCGGGAAGATCCGAGTTATATCATATTGCTGAATGCAGCGTTACACCACAAGCAAACAAAACCTGCGCATGAGCAAAATTATATAACTTTTGAGTGCCTCCATATCCTTTAATGTTCACATCAGTCAATAAATGTGCAAAGTTTAATTTAGCATTAATGCACACTTTATCTGCTAAGCCGCTCCATTAATATCCATAAACAGGATCGATCAGCTGAGTTGAGAAATAAACGCATTTTTCAGTCAACATGTCAAGGCAAAGAAATGTGTCTCTGCACGCTACTATGGGCAACAACAATACTTTCCTTCCGGAACATTCATAATCTCCATAGAAAGTTGTATATTTTAAAACTTAGTCCGGCCCCTTAGCAATTTTCGATTTCAGACAACTTGGTCAATATTTTGGCACTGTCCTCAATAAAGGATCTCCGGAACCCGGTTGACAGTTACTTTAAATTGTGCGTGCGTGCGTGTGTGTGTGTGTGTGTGTGTGTGTGTGTGTGTGTTACATTACAATTATTAAACAATGGACACTGTCCACTGTCACATTTTGCCTCAGGAATCTTTGCTGTCTGCTTATTGGACATTCTCTGACCCCATGAAGATCCGGGTTAGAACTGGTCTTCCTAACCTATGCTTGTCGTAAGAGGCGACTAATGCGTAGATCAATGTTCATGCTGTTGATCACTGGATTATCTGGTTCAGACTCGATTATCTACAGACAGTCGCCAAATATTGCTGAGTGCGGCGTTAACACACACACAAACAAACAAACATGGGATCTCGAGCTCTCAACCCTCAGTTTGATAAAAGTTGGCAGTAAGCTATCCTGCTTTCGATTTTACCATTAAGTAATCGTTATTTACCAGATCGTCCTCTCAATTTCTGTGGGAAATCGTTTGGTTTCCCTTACAGAAGTAGTCTCGCACAAGACGATATCTGATTCACAAGTGGAGTCACGAGCCTTTTTGTTTGCATATTTTGAGATGCAAGTACAAATCTCCTGATGTATAACAATGTAACGTGAACTCCCACTGTTGAGATCATGGTGTTTGTGAGCATGGAGACAATGCTAAACTGGAGGTTTAAAAGCACGGCCATAACGTGCAAACTCCTCATGCCAGGCATAGTATTTACAAAACTAAATATGTTAAATGTGTATTGTTCGAGATGTCAATGCTGTATGCTCATAGACCTCGTACAGAACTTCAGTTTACATTCATGTACAAGGGCTGATTGTTACGTTCTGAGACTCAATATAAACAATTACGCATGCTGAACGTTGTATCTGTGGACAGTACATGATATCAGCTGAGAAAATCGTTTCCCAGTGACAAATCAGTAAAAAAGTAGGATTCTTCGGAAAGAGGTTGGTTGGTTGGTTTGTTGTTAAACGTGGCACTCAGCAATATTCCAGCCATATGGCGGCGGTTTGTAAATAATCGAGTCTGAACTAGACAATCCGGTGGGCAAAAGCATGAGCATCGATCTACGCAACTGGGATACGATGACATGTGTCAACCAAGTCAGCGAGCCTGACCACCCGATCCCGTTAGTCGCCTCTATAACAATAACATACGATTGAACACGTCTGAGGATTAGTCGCAAAGAGGCACCACGATTCAATGCTCAGAGTTGAGTCACTTAGGCACGCCCGAAATCTACTAGTATACTCGTTGGTCCGATTACGTTTCTCATTAAGTTTCTCAGCACCATACACGTGCACGTGGGTTTCACCGAAATCTATTGGAAGCATCGGCCTGAGAAGATCTGGGATAGAATCGGTCTTCAGCAACCCACGCTTGTCGTAAGAAAAGGAGGGGGCGTGGTGGGCAAGCTGTCTAAGGCGCCAGGCTAGGAATCCAGCAAGCTTTAGGTGCCGGGATCGAGCCCTCCTGTGACCGGGTGTATGGTGCATGGCCACATGAATACGTGCAAACACCTAGTTACGGGTACAGCAACGTGTAGTAAACTTGGACAAAGTACTGTGACTATATGTCCTAGTCCACCCAGCTGTGAATGGGTACCTTGTAAGGATTTGAAAGCCACATTAACTCGGTGTGCCTAGTGGCTGCAAGAGTTGTGTGATCCCCAGCGAGTTGAGATTCATAATACGAAGTGCCGTTGAGACTGACACCCTATGATCGACAGAAAAACAACGCGCCTGTGAGCAGCCGAGCTGGAACTCGGCGCTATATGAATAGATTATAATATAATATTAATATAATATAAGAGGCAAAAAAACAACAGCTAGGTCGGGTGGTCGGGGTCGCTGACTTGGTTGACACATGTCATCGTATCCCAGTTATGTAGATCGATGCTCATGCCGTTGATCACTGGATTGTCTGGTCAAGACTCGATTTTTATAGACCGCTGCCATTTAGCTGAAATATTGCTGAGCGTGGGGTTAAATAACAATATAATATATAATTGACCAGCATCACATAAGGTTTCGTTCCGTGATATACCTGGAGTACTGGTCAAAGCGGCGTTAAACCCAACTCACGCACTGAATACTCAAGAAAACACTTTTCATAGTTCCAGCTAGACATTCCTTTATAACACATCTGATTTCATTAGACCTTACTCATGGATTTCACAAATGGGGTCAAGGCTCTAGACATTCGGTTTTGTGTTGGCTTTGCTTCACAATATCTTTTGTTTGTTTTGTTTGTTGTTTAACGCCGCAAAATTCCAGTTATATGACGGTGGTCTGTAAATAATAAAGTCTAGACCAGACAATCCAGTGACTAATTTATTTGAAGGTACATGTCAGCCTCGTTGTTAGTCACGGAGTCATCTTTTAAGTCATTGATCATGTGAACTACTGTGACGTCCCGCTATTCTGATATGAATTGATTTTGTGATTTCATTTCTTAAAAAAACCCTTCGCAGAATGTTTTTTATCCTCGTATGTACTGTAACTGCAAACTTGAAATATCAGTACTTCTCACTTAACAGAGTTTACAGACTCACGAAACACTCTTACAAAATCAGAAGCGTTTAGTTACTTACGTGACGGGAATGTAAGTGTCCATTTGCACGTACTGATTTGCCATGTATAAGATCCTATGTATCAAGTACAGTGACATATCTGGAAATGAAGTGCCAATTTAATATTATTGATTTTGCCATTTATAAGATACTAAGAGCAAATACCTTGGTGCATTTCCATGGCATTGTCATGTAGATCCTTGTAGCACAAAATAACCAGCAAGCATAGCATTTACAATCACAATCACATGGAACATAGACGATGCACATTACACTGCACATACGACGCATCGCCATGTTTGTGCTTGTTGTAATTCTGTCCATCTTCGGCCAAAGTCAAGGTAGGTCCTCCTGTAGAATTGCTGAGTGCGTTGTAAAACTAAACTCACTCACTCACTCCTCCTGTAGATCTCGGATCTATCGTGATTGTAGCACTATTGAGACCATTATTAGCACCTACACACATGCATATCCCCAAAACACACACGCACGCACACACAGACACACTATCTCCCTCTTACACACACAAACATACGGACGCATGCACGCACACACACAAAACAGCACACATATATGCACATACACTGAGCTCCCAGCACACACTTTTCTTTTCTTAAGTTACCTATCTCAGGTGGTACACGTCCATAGGATTATTTTTAATGCATTTGTTGAGGGTCCCCGTAATTTTCACCTATCAGTGTAAAGAATTGTATTATTTCCCCAGCGGACTTGGTCAAAGGGACGTTCAAAAGTCATTCACTTACCGTAGTTAGTATATCTAACATATATTTGGCAGTATATGTAATATATCATATATGTAGATATGATTGCTCACCAACAACCTTGTTGTTCATTGGTCTCTACACAATACAACACGTATAGAATGAGTTCATACATAGTGCTCAGTTTTCTTTTCAGTGGCCGTTACTTCGACAAGCACCTCTAGTAGCACTGCAGCGGTCAATGGTACCACCGACACATTATCAGCCCAGTCTGTTTCACAACCAACACCAGCAACCTCGGTGGCAAGTTCGTCGTTTCTGACTGCCGTACCTTCTACTGCTGATGATCATACCCTCAGAACGTTTCAATCTTCTGGTGTTCCATCAAGTGCTCAACCATCTGATGTTCCTTCATCAATTTCCCCTGGTGTTCTGTCGTCGTCTGTCATTTCTGAAGAAGAACCATTATTTGCTGTTTCTGGCTTATCACCATCGTCTTCTGTTGATATCCAACTGACACTTCACCCTGAATACCCAGCGTCACTCACTCCTTCAAGTGTGTCGACATCGTTTTCTCCTGGGGATACCCAAGTGACACTTCTTTCTGGATTCCAAGCATCACTCACTCCATCTAGTGTGTCGGCGTCGTCTTCTCCTGGTAAAATCCAAGTGACACTTCACCCTGAATACCCAACATCACTCACTCCATCTAGTGTGTCGGTATCGGCTTCTGGTGATACCCAAGTGACACTTAAATCTGAATACCCGACATCACTCATCCCATCTACTGTGTCGGCATTGTCTTCTCCTGGTGATACCCAAGTGACACTTCATCCTGAATACCCAACATCATACACTTCTTCAAGTGTGTCGGCATTGTCTTCTCCTGGTGATACCCAAGTGACACTTCATCCTGAATACCCAACATCACTCACTCCTTCCAATGTGTCACCATCATCTTCTGGTGATGTTCTGTCAACACATCCATATGTTGACCAACATTCCTTCGATCCTTCTGAATTGTCGCCCTTGTCCACTCCTGGTACTGTACTAGCAACTCATCCTTCTGACCATCAACCATCATCTTTGGCTTCGAGTTTTCTTAGAATAGATTGGACATTAGGTGACCTGAAACTCCCCATGACGTCTTCTGTTTCATTGGAATTACATGACTCAAGTGAACTCGACGTCTTATTTCCTGCTACGTTCAAGTATGGCACCACTACTCATATGTGTATCTGTCGATGTCGAACGACCAAGCCAACAGACTTGGCAATGGCTCGTTCTGCGAGTCAGGTGCTGCAGCAGAATCTGCTTCTAGAGAGGAAAAACGTCACAAAGTACATTCTCACAAAGATAAGTGCGCCGAACAAACAAGTAACATCCACGTATATAGGGAGCGTTGGCATCGTGCTGGGGCTGGTCACCATGTGCCCTATCGTCATCCCTGATGTGGTAACATTGTGCTTCTATCTCATTAAAAATGGGAAGTAAATGAAACTACCATTCACGTGGGTCTACTCATGGTAACAGTTACCTGTAAAACAGCTGACAATGAAACAGACGGTTGACCATCTTAATCCCCGTAGGATTTTTATCAATGTGATAAATATGTTCCATTGTGTCGAAGTTGAAGGGGCCCACGTAAATACTTCGAGTTATGCGATGTTCGACACAAAAGCACAATTATTACTCTCCGAGGAATACGCAGACACCAAACCTTTATTTCGAGACAACTGTACGTTACACACGACGGTGTTTACTGTCTTAACAAAATATTTGCTGATTACAACATTTCGAGCAATTAGAAATCATACACGATGGGAAAACATTAAGTGCATATTTACAAGACGTGTCCAGAACTATGGAAACACAGCATAATGGGCGAAATGCGTTCGACGTGGTTATTCACGATGGAAGCGCTACAAGCCATACCTTGTTATAAGATATATCGACATAGATATGTCGACATGGAAGGATGCTTCTCACCTGATTCCTGAAGGCGTGGTTAACCTTCTCTGACAATATGGGTCAATTCAGTTGAAGGATGTCTTTACTGCGGTCATCTGAACTGCAATGAACTATGGTATTCTACCAAAATCATTGCATGTCGGTCCAATGTGCATAGAATTAATGTCCTGGACAGTCCACAAACATGATGACTGTGTCGACAATTTATTCGGGCCGAACCAACGATCATAACCAGTGGTGCTTTAGAACAATGCATGAGACGAATGGCTGTCTTCACGAACTGATGTCACCCTAAATCCTTCACCTCAGTGGTTTCCCTGTATTTTCTGAACAACGACTGAAACTGTGTAGCGGACGTTTAATTCCCGACCAATTGCTTTAAAGGGCATACCGGAGTTATACATAAGACAAGTACTGTGCGCAAATATGAATATATTTGTTGAAACTTACCAGCGGCATGATGTATCTCGATGACCATGGTGACATATCATGTTAAAATAGTAGGGGATATTCCATTTTGGAGTGATCGATGTTATTTGGTTACCAAGTTGTATGATTGTATATGAATGAAGGATTAGTGAGTGAGTGTGTTGGGTTTTACGCCGCTCTCAGCAATATTCTAGCAATATCACGGCGGGGTACACCAGAAATTGGCTTCACACAATATACCCATGTGGGGAATCGAACCCGGTCTTCGGCGTGATCAGCGAACGCTTTAACCACTGGGCTACCCCACAGACCCGATCAAGGATTTGTGGAAGCCGCGATGGCTGAGTGGCTGATTCGTCCAATACAAAGCTCAGTGAGCTCGGTCCCTGTTACACTAATAAATAATTTCTGTCATTAAAGATATAAACTATCAATAATTGTGACACCTTTCTATCCTCCGCACTACTTTTTAAATAGAATACGTTGACTGGATATGGAACTATATGCAGTAAGAAAGATTGAGTGTGTCAATATGGATTTACAGGGCTTTCAGCAGTGACCACGAATTTCACGGCGGGGCACACCAGAAATGGGCTTCACACATTGTACCCATGTGGAGAATAGAACCCGGGTCTTCGGCTTTAACCACTAGGCTACCACACCGCCCCCTCAAGAAAGTGAGTGAGTGAGTGTGTGAGTATGGTTTTACGCCGCCTTTAGCAATATTCCAGCAATATCACGGCGGGGGACACCAGAAATGGGCTTCACACATTGTACCCATGTGGGGAATCGAACCCGGGTCTTCGGCGTGACGAGCCAACGCTTTAACCACTAGGCTACTCCACCGCCCCACAGCCAATAACCAATGTTATATATTGTCACGTATTTCTCTACCGATTCAAATGAGAGTGTGATAATTAGGTGATAATATTTTCTTGAAAACATATTAATGTATTGACTTCATTATTGATTTATGCCATCAATAAATTGAAATTCTGTACAGTCCGTTTTTGTTATTTCTTTGACAACACTTATGAATTTCAACATCATGTAGAACTAGGATAAGAATAAGATTGAGAGGTAGACAGATAGTGATATCATAAACAATTGTTGTACATGTTGTGCCGACAACCGTATTATTTCTCACGTGACATCGAACTTGCAGTGACAACACCTGCAGCACGTGCAGCTCCAGAGGTGACACTCAGAAGAAGTTCAGCAGGTAAGGTTCCTCTCTGATTTGTAGCTATTGTTTACCGAACACAAGAAATAATCCTCCCCGTTTCTCACAATATTTTATTCAGTCGATGTAATATAGTGTACATATTTGGAGGTATATGATTAAGAAATGTATACTGATTGAAACGTATTATTTGAAGCCAGTCGGGTATGTAAACAGGCATGCTTGTCATACAGCAAATTTTCTTACCCTACGAGCCATATCCTCCAAAAATAAGATGTAGAAAATATCTTCTGAAGTGATAGTTCTTAACCTTGAACCAACGTTCAAAAGCAACTAATTAGACGAGACACAACTTCCACATTTGTGCAATGCGTCCTGTCAAAACTACGATTTCATTGAAGGCAAGCACAAAATCTGGTATCCTCCGAACGTACAAAATTGTCTCGTTTATCGTAGTTCGCGCTGAAAGGATTTTACGAATGTTTCTCGGATGATCGATTTTTATCAGAGCGTGTTATAAAGTCGTCCATTTACACTCGCTATTCATGGATGAAAGCTTAGGAAACATTCTTTTGGAGAAGGCTTAACCTGGTGGGTGGTATTTGATGTAATACACATCGTCGATCAATAGTAAATAAACTAGGAGTGTCAAGTCGTTTCCGTAGCTACAATTTGGTTGACTGTAAAGGTTACTATACATATTATGGCATGACAGAGTTATTATAGTAATGAACCAGGCATGGGTCTACACGAGTAGCATGTATCTAATGCACTCTACACCCTTGGTATTTTGGGGGTATTTTTTTTCACATATGTTACTGGGGTGTGATTATTAAGGGGTTGTTGCCATACTCTGATGTCTTGTCATTTATAATACCTAAACCGTGTCCCCTCAAGATCGGGGTTCCATTTAATCTTTCACAACCCATGCTTGCAAGGGTATCTTCCCATTATGACTACTCCCAATATGACAACTCCCATTTCAGAAATGGCTGCTTTGTCTGAGGTTTTGACGTTGCTGACGTTTCTGGTAAGTAGTCATGGGTAATTTTATTGGGCTAATTCAAGAACTGAATGAGTAACATGAAGACTTGTTTATATACACGATACATGTTAAACAAGGCAGTTTAAACTTCTATAATTTAAATCTGACTTCTGTCTGGAACAAAATTGTATTAAAAGACGTATCTTGATAACATAGCTTTGGTTCAAGGTGTGCATTTATAAATGTTTTGGCATGGTCACGATTAAATGTAATGTATTGTAAGATATCTGGGATAGGACCCGGATTCCCAGTCCTACTAAGGTGCCTTGACAGTTACCTTACAGGTGGTGGTGGGGTGGCCTAGTGGTTAAGGCGTTGGCTCGTCACGCCGAAGATCTGGGTTCGATTCCCCACATGGGTACAATGTGAGAAGTCTATATCTGGTATCCCCCGTCGTGATATTGCGTTGAAAGAAACGTTGTAGTGGGTTCGAATCCTAGATTCGATTTGTTTCTAGGTTTGACATTCCCAATACATGCTAGTTGTCTTTACTAAAGTGGTGAAGGACTGATACCTGCAGGCATTCTTGCTACCTGCTTAACGCCGCACACAGCAACATACCAGCTATATGGCGACGGTATGTAAATAATAGAGTCCGGACCAGATAATCCAGTGACTCGGATCACGAGAAGCGATCAAAGCATTTGAGAACCGATGACATGTGTCAACCAACCCAAAGATAAGGTTCAGCCAAGATAAGGTTCAGCCAAGATATTTTGCGTAGTTTCTTTACCTGCATTCTTTCCCCTGTACAACTTATTAGGGCGGTGGGGTAGCCTAATGGTTAAAGCGTTGGCTCGTCACGCCGAAGACTCGGGTTCGAATCCCCACATGGGCACAATGTGTGAAGCCCATTTCTGGTGTTCCCCGCCGTGATGTTGCTGGAATATTGCTAAAAACGGCGTAAAACCAAACTCAGTGTACAACTTATTAAATACAATGACTTTGCTTTTAGTTGCCTCGCCAAGCTGTGCAAGCCGTTATACGGTCAACAGGTGTGTGCAAAATCGTTAGTTTGCATAAACAGTATAGAGGAAACATTTCCGGGTTGAGCAATAAACAACAATTGACACGTGGCGGTAACTGGTTTGGATAATTACGTTGCAATATGAAGCACTGCACATCACAACAGATGCTCTACTTTATTATATTGAATCCGATAAACATGGGGCGCAGTAACCAAATTTAGAGAGAAAATGGGATTATAAAAATATGTTGATCTTGAGGAAATCTTTCTAATATAGACTAATGTTTCTGTGCAGTCCACGGCTTATTCCCAAATGCCTCCGGAAGCTCAGGTGCCAAAGGATTATATCGTTGATGGTAGGTATTCTGAATCGTACAGAGTTTGTTTGTAAATGCTGATCTCATTACAATCAGGTGCTTGTAGGACTCCAAATATTCTACATCTAATGAAAAGCGCACACCATGTCTCGTAGTAATCTAGCCGTTTTGGGCTGAACCAGAAAGGTTCTTGAAACGATTTTTGAGTATGGATGAATATGGAGACTCGACAAACAATAGTGCAAGTTAATCGTCATGACGACCGACAGAAGGCACAGACTGACCCATCATCAGGATGGGGGCTAGTGGTCTTAGTGAGACCAGACAGCATGGTTTGATTCCCCCACTTGAGTGCAATGTGTGAAACTCATTTCTGATGTGACCCGCCGTGATATTGCTAAAAGCGGCGTATAACAATACTCAACCATCTGGAAAGGGATTCATCAGGATGGACTGTTCACAAACGCTAGCCAATTGCACTTTGGAGTCTATTGCGGAATAAGACCCGTGAAGATCCGGGGTAGAATAGGTCTTCAGCAACCCATGCTTGCCACAAAAGGCGACTATGCTTGTCGTAAAAGGCGACTAACGGGATCGGGTGGTCAGGCTCGCTGACTTGGTTGACACATGTCATCGGTTCCCAGTTGCGCAGATTGATGCTCATGCTGTTGATCACTGGATTTTCTGGTCCAGACTCGATTATTTAAAGAACGCCGCCATATAGCTGGAATATTGTTGAGTGCGGCGTAAAACTAAACTCTCACTCACTCTATTGCGGAATAAAATCAAGACTAAGTTATGCTTAATTTCGAGAAGGTGTGCTCTTCGGTTAGCACAGTCCACGAGTATAGTATTGAACGCCTTCACCGACCAACGCCTGATCTGCTTGAAGGAACGCTTGAACGATGACGGCATAGACGCTGAACAATTTGGACGACCAAACTAAGGACCGCTACGAAACTGACTTAAAAATCGAACATGGATTGCAAAAGAGTATCGATTTGGAATGGGATTACGTTTTAATATATGCCAGTTCTGTGATCCCCAGAATGTATCACTCATATGTATGACACCATATGACGCTGTCCCGACTGAAGCAAATCCGGGATGACATAGCAACATAGGTGGTAGTACAAGAATGTAATATCGATTCCGCTCTAGAGTTTGCCGACTAGAGCACCTTTGCATTCAGATATGGTCACATTCATTCTTATATGAGGCGGCATCATTCTTTTATGAGGTGGAATATTGCAGAGTTCGGTCAACATTCAGCAGCGTTTGATCCGTACTCTGTTCGTGGTGGACAGTGACCGTGACCTAAAGTCGACATTTTTCATGTCTTCTGACTGAACACTTAACCGTGAAGGTCCGGGTTAGAATATTGATCTTCAGTAACCCATGCTTGTCGTAAGAGGCGACTAACGGGATCGGGTGGTCAGGCTCGCTGACGTGGTTGACACATGTCATCGGTTCCCAATTGCATAGATCGATGCTCATGCTGTTGATCACTGGATTGTCTGGTCCAGACTCGATTATTTACAGACCGCCGCCATATAGCTGGAATATTGCTGAGTGCGGCGTTAAACATCAAACAAAAATATATGTCCGGAAGGCGGATTTGTGTGTGTGTAAAACTGAATATATATTCTCATCATCTGACTGATGTTTTAAAAACAGATCTAGTGAATTAACAATAACGAACAATAGGCATCTTAGACACGTCCATGTTTTAGTTAAACAGGAGTGTGGGAAAGAGGGCACCCAGAGCAAAGTTTGTGTGATGACCGACCTCACGGTGTTCATTCAGCTGGAGTGCAAGGGAGGTAATCTGTACAACTTCACATCGGTCAACTCCGTAAACCACTGTGCTGATGTGTACTTCACCGGCGACGAGAACAAGAGATGTGTTTATCCGGTAAGTATCCCGATGCTCCATTATAGCTTGTGTCGTGGCACAAGTCTAGCTATATCACTAGTTGAACCACATGCAGGATAAACACAAGTGCTAAAATGCCTAGTAACGTCAACTTTGAACAAGGAACACATTCTGTTGTGGGAATCATGGTTTCGATACTTTAGATAAATGGGATTTGTCGTTCAGGGTGTGACGTCATATCGGACCTCTCGGACCGCAAGCACCAGTCCGTTTATTGTAACCCTAGGGCTCTTAACGAGGCCATTGCGGACAAGGGTCCATGGTATTTATTACCGAATGACGCCTAAGACTGACTGACTGAGTTTGGTTTTACGCCGCTTTTAGCAATATTCCAGCAACATCACGGCGGGGGACACCAGAAATGGGCTTCACACATTGTGCCCATGTGGGGATTCGAACCCGTGTCTTCGGCGTGACGAGCCAACGCTTTAACCATTAGGCTACCCCACCGCCCCGAATGACGCCTAAGAAGATCCAACACGAGGGCCTATGTTTGGCTCAGGATCGCTGAGTCGGTTGATGCACGTCGTGACATCCCAACTACGTAGATAGATGCTCATGACGTCAGTTATAGGATTAGGAATACGCAATGCAGGTGCGGATACAACCTGTAAGAAGGGGTTGGGGTGGGGGCTGTAGGGTATGTGCACTCTCGAGAAAAGGGTGGTGGTGGTTTGCACACTTAATTTTCAACCGTTTACACGACAGTTTCCAAGGTCATTTAATAAACTTTACCCCCCACCCCCCCCACTCTGGATCCGCCTATGCCGTGCCAGTTAGAAAGTGGTCAGAAACAGCATATGTTATATTTGGTATTACATAGGATTGTCTGGTTCATATACAGGAATATTTCCAAGTGCAGCATGATATCAACAGATTGGTAGAACAGGTACCCAATATCCCATACTGGTCCAAATTCGAAACCCCCTGGCGAGAACAGCTTTACAACTGTGCTGTTGCGAAGGCAAATAGATCCAATGGATGGCTTGGCAAGCTTAACTACTTGGTTACATTAGTGTCAGTGTATCCCGACATGGATCGATACTTATAGTATCAACCTCTGTAGTGTATCGGTCAGACAGTTCAAAGATTTATTGGTAGCCCTCATGCAGCTGGAATATGGCTCTCTCTCACACGTCATCGTATCCCAAATTGCGTAGATTGATGCTCATGATGTTGATCACTGGATTGTCTAGTCCAGACTCGATGATTTACAGACCGCCGCCATATATCTGGAATATTGTTAAGTGCAGCGTAAAATTAAACTCACTCACTCTCTGACTCTCGGACACCCACACCCATACCCACAGACACACATTCGGTTAACATGCTCCAGATGGACAGCTGGAATATTGCGAAGTCTCTCTCTCGGAGAGACCCACGGACACAGTGGATTATTTACATGGTCTAGTCAGACAGCTGAAATCTGCCGACAGTTCACTCAAACACTGCTGTTTACAGAAACGTCACGATCTGAGGTTGTACTGTGTAAAGGTTCTGGTAAACGTTGTCAACAAGGAGGGGTCGTCGGTAGGTATCAACAGACTGCTCCGCTACACCATGACCTGCACCTACGACGAGAACGGCGAGCAGAAGTCCGGCAACAGTTCCATAGTTGAGCAGTGAGTGCAGATACCCTTTCACCTTGATATTAGCTGCTCTACTGATTACGCCGGTCCTAACATAAGTTGAAAATGGCGTCTGCACTTTTTATTACATTGAATACAAACCACCGTTTTGAATAATGTGATTTGAATTTTACACCACGTTTAGCATTCCAGCAATATCGCGGCAGTGTAAACTAGTAACGGTTTCCACACATTATCCCCATTGGGGGAATCGCGCACGCGCGCACAATCATCAGAATGTTGTTTGAGTGGTTTATTTTAACTGTTACATTGTGTCAATAGGCTAGCTCTGTCAAATCGGTATTAGTCGTAAGACTCGCGCACACGCACATACACAAGACCCCTCAGCACCCCTGTTTGAAGTGCAGGAAACTTGGAGGTGACCCTAAACCCCCTCTCTCTCTCCCCAGTGTATACGAGTTGTTCTGTTACAGGTACCATGCGCCCAAGGGTGTCAACGGTCATGCCGGCTCCAAAACAAAGATGGGGGTGACTATTCTGCTGACTGATATCCGCGGCGTCCCTCTCACCTCTGGGGTTCCAATAGACAAAACTGTGTGTCTGAAGGTCGTGCTGGACAACAGTACTGGCAAGTAATACATGCCCAGAAATTAACGCCTTGTGCTCAAAGATGCACCACTCCGTGATGATCCGGGTTAGAATATTGATCTTCAGTAACCCATGCTTGTCGTAAGAGGCGACTAACGGGATCGCGTGGTCAGGCTCGTTAACTTGATTGACACGGTATCGGTTCCCAATTGAAAAGAACGATTGTCATGGCGTCAGTCACTGGATTGTCTGGTCCAGACTCAATTTGCAGACATATAGCTGGAATAGTGCTGAGTGCGGCGTAAAACTTGAACAATTGCGTCATATTACCTCCACGGATTTTATAATTCATGCTTTTAGGCAGTGGTTTGTCTGGCTGACGTGACGCACACGTAGCATTGCTCGATGCGTCGTAAAATCTCAACTCGTTCACTTTCGATCACATTCTCGCTTTCCTGACATTTTATGCAGCGAATGAAATTAGCATCGATATAGGCGTTGTTTGTAGGTACATTGTCATTATTAGACAGCCTACCAAGTACGTCATGAATAATGTAACCATTACCAGACTTGTTCACGGTTATCTTTGCGCGGTGACAATTCAATAATTATATGGTAAGTCTTCATAAGTGAGATGGTAGATTACATTGATATTCGGTTCCGTTTTATCAGTCCCAATGTTTTTCCTTGTGAGCAATATCCATTTGGGTGAATTGTGGATAGCTTGCAACAAGCCATTGAACATTATTATAACGAAGCCAATTTCACATCCAGGTTTACTGGTGGGCTCCAAGCCCCTCACCCTGTTCCCAGTGTCTTGTGAAGCTATTGGGGCTACTACAGGCCAGAGACACGCCTTCATCAGATCTGGGTGAGTTGAGGACACTGAATGCTAAAGTGGTTTGCAAAATGTATACAACTCAAAATAAGTTAAGGACCACTGGTTCTTTCCCTTAACCATAGTTAATTTGAACATCTTAATGTGAAAGAATGGGGTGGTTCAAACTTAAGCTAGGCCCCGTCTCGCTTATCGCAATATAAAGACCGCCTCCGTGGTGTAGTGGTTAGAGCGTCCGCCCTGAGAGCGGAAGGTCGCGGGTTCGAGCCCCGACCGCGTCATACCAAAAGACGTTAAAATATGGTACTTGTTGGTCCCTGCCTGGCGCTCGGCATTAATGGGTACAACAAGGACTGGTCGGCTCGGAGTCAGTATAATGTGTCTGAGTGGGGTATTCATGCTTCACTGAGGCATGGTGTCACAGTGGGCTAGCACTATAAAACCAGCTTAAGTCTGGGATAGTACAAGCAGCCGCACATATACATACACACGCATGCCCGTCGTCATATGAGCGAAATATTCTCAAGCACGAAGTTAAACCCAATTTCACCTCACCTCACCTATCGCAATATGATTACAAGATCTTTCAGCGCGACGGAGTCCAGCTGGACCAATCCAGATGTGACGTCAAATAAACGAGCAGTTTTTAAAAATGGCAGCCTATACCGGCTCCTAGCTTTGGCTCAAGTTTGCGCGCGCAAAGGGAGCCGGGAACCAACTTAGTCCTAACCAAGAAACTTCAGTATCTGATCAATGTGCAGTTTAGTTTGCTGGCAGTATACACTGTGGTATATCTGTCTGTTGAACAATAATTCCATTGTCCACTCGGCCAATCAACCTCTATCCACGACTGCACGCATCCGCAGGCTAGCTATGCCTGAAGTTACCAGCCTACCAACAAATTCAGTAGTCCGAAATTTGAATGTAGACACGGGTTTCATCATTGAGCTGCTGATACGATAAACAATTTTATCAGGCCACAACCTTGCATGATTTAAAAGTGTGTTATAACTAACAAGTCGGAGAGAGTGATATGTTTACAAAATGCAAATTCACTAGTCACTCGGACCAGTGACTGTGGAAAATTACTGTCCCGACTGGATTTTTACTAGCCACGGGCTAGCGGACCAGTGGCTATTTCGCATACTGCATACATACACTGATGTGTATGATCACTATAGTACTGACATGCGATATTCTGCTTCCAATGTTGCAGATGTGGGGACGGCATCATTATCAACAAAACCACCGGTTTTTCTATGATGCCCCGGGCCGCCCTCAGCCCTTACTTCAAGTTCTTCGCGTTAGAAAATGACAATAGCTTCAGTATCATGTGCAACTTCACCCTGTGCTCCAACTGTGTGGGAAAGGTACGTGTCTTAATCTTGTCAGGTATTTAACTCGTGGCCCACCAGGGGAGGATGCAACCAGGACTGCAAGAGAAGTATGTAAAAGTACCCCGCGAGACGAACTGTTTTACAGAAACCCCACGGGGCGAAATGTGTAAGTGGTTCCCCCACGAGGAGGCGGACGACGTGACCACCCAGTAGCCCGCGAGGAGGCGGACGACGTGACCAGTAGCCCGCGAGGAGGCGGACGACGTGACCAGTAGCCCGCGAGGAGGCGGACGACGTGACCAGTAGCCCGCGAGGAGGCGGACGACGTGACCAGTAGCCCGCGAGGAGGCGGACGACGTGACCAGTAGCCCGCGAGGAGGCGGACGACGTTAACCAGTAGCCCACAATGGACAGGGGAGGTGTCATGATGCTCCCTCTGACAAGTCTGCTCTGATATTAGTTGAAATGTAAATGCGCAATGTTTGAAAAGTTTCCTTTTCGTTGATTCTACCCAATTTGTGATATTAAGGAAGTGATTTGATTTCAGAACTCCTGTAGTGGCGCAGCAGCCAAACCCAGAAGTATATTCAAACTGTTCGGGAAGTGGATTGAAGCTGGCAACAGACTCAGAAGGGAAGCTCCAGGTAAACATCCATTTGTAGACAACTGGGGCTGTAACCAATACCCAGTAGTCTGTTATATATTTAGTTTCTCATTCCTGTTAGGGTTTCACTAGGTTCAATAAGCAGAGGTGGCCCACTTGTTAAGGGTGTCGCAAATCACTGTGCAGAGTTGCGTCCCTTGGATTCGGCAGAAACTTGTAACCGTATGTCTGAATGCCAGATTCGCCATATTTCGTGATGTCATCAATCACTCACCCGTGTTGGTGGGCTTCATCACAGTGGTAAATACCTCAGTACTTTAACCTCCTAGGGCTTTCCTCACATACTACTTAAAAAAAAGTTGACATGTGATAGAACTGAATACCAATTATTTCAATTTCGTAAAGTTCAAACTTTCCTCGCCACCATTGTCGGGCGGAAATATTCAGATATTTGCTGCGTTATACCAACTCCGGGCTTTTTTCAAATTTACTACGCCGTTCAGTGTATCCAGTTGGAACTGATAACCTACTTCCGATCGGCATTGGGCAATCCATTGATTTTTAAGGAGATTTTTATGCCAGTGCTTCCGCATTTCCTTAAGATTCACTTCGTTGCTAGTTTGGAGAACCCAAACGCGTCTTTTGAATATGAAAATGACATTACATTGGAAACTCTGAAGAATTATAACTTAACTGAAGTCGGTGAATACAGTATACATCTCTACCCGACGTTCCAAAACGGGTTTCCGACGTTTGGGGACATCGGGTCAGAGAGGTGCATTAGGAGGTGTAAGACGGTTTGGGCGTGATGCAAATGTTCGCCCACTGACAGGAATTTATACATTTGACATGAGGTGTTATAATCTGTAGGAATGATGAAACTGCAGCAAATTGTTGAGTTATATTGTTCTGAAACGTACGTAAAATATCCCCCTTTCGTCCGTGTTCACAAACCCAGCCTCATCAAATGCGTTTCTTTCCCATTTTCTTTTGAATAATAAATTGCAAGACCTTGAAGTGGTTATGTATTTGTTATTCGTGTTTCTGATGGCTTTGTTTTGAATGAAAATCATCTTTATCTTCATCCCGTGTTAGAATAATAAAAGTCTTCAGGAACCCATACTTGTTAGAGGCGACGAACGGAATCGGGTGGTCAGAATCGCTGACTTTCAATTGGCTGATGTATGTCACGGTATCGCCATAGCGTAGATTGGTGCTTATGTCAATCACTGGATTGTCTGATCTGTTTACAAAACAAGCGAGCAAAACTTGTTATTCCCGTCAGCTGACTGGGACATTTGTTTTTTCTTTTCATATTTATTATTATTATTATTATTATTTTATTATTATTATTATTATCTTTTTATTATTATAGGATATTTATATAGCGCACATATCCAGGCAACTAGTGCATGCTCAAGGCGCTGGTATTTTCCCCTCGATCATTGGATGTCAGTCTCAACGGCATATCGTTATACCCTTATCAAATGTTGCATTTTTCCAATACAAGATAAATGTTCGATTTTCAGTCTTGTGATCAAAACTCTTATCAATTTTAAATCTTTAAGTAAAAGAATTGTGTTCGTAAAACATTTGACATATACACATGGAGCATACCTGGATAATCATTTGCGTTGTGTTTTCAAGCCAGGGAGTGATGGTTTATGATTATTTGTTCCATCGCTATGGGAACACCAGTAATTTAAGATGGGTTCGAATCCCAGTTCACCCCCATAGTTTCATTGTTTGTTAGGTCTACTGTTTGTTAGGAGGGGCGCTGGGGTAGTCTAGTGGTTAAAGCGTTGGCTCGTCACGCCGAAGACCCATGTTCGAATCCTCACATGGGTACTATGAGTGAAGCCCATTTCTGGTGTCCCCCGCCGTGATATTGCTGGAATATTGCTAAAAGCGGCGTAAAACCAAACTCAGCCAGTTTGTTAGGTCCATCGTTTGTTAGGTCTATACCTGTGACCGTGGGCTGTGCCAAAGTGGCATCACTCCAGGCGTGTACGCTGTTACATAACCCGGAATACTGTTAACAGCGGCGTTAAACTCACTCACTCACTCACCCTTCCGGCACCAGTTTCAATTGTCAAATAAAAACACTTGGCAAAATTGCGATTCCAGGGCATGACCTTTGGTCTTACGTGACCCTACAAAATTAGTACATGTCGGGTTTTTACATGCGCCTGGACTGTGCGATGTTTAAGAGCGATGAACTACATTGTTTGGTCAGGCTCACTGAATGCAGGTCATTGTACTGTGATGGGGATAAACCATTTCTAGCTGGTATCAATTTCCAGATGTGAAGAAACTGGACCAGACATACCAGTGATTGGGTTTGTTACCATCCGCCCCCGAACTGTTGGGAAACGATGACCACAGCTACCAAGTCTGACCACCCGATGCTTTAGATCGCCTCTTATGATGATGCTAGGTGTTGGAAATGCCCACATTAACATAACACCCATGCTATTCGAATACTTTCCCTACGACTTGTACATGGTGATATTTGACTTGGGCGTTCTTGCACTAATAAACTAACATTTTCGTAAGGATTAGGCGCGAACGAAAATGAATTATCTCCCTTAGACCTTGTTATCTTCATCCACTGTTTACGTTAATTGGAGGCGGTGAGGTAGTCTAATGGTTAAAGCGTCCGCTCGTTGCGTTCACTACCCTGGTTCGATACCCCACATGGATACTATATGTGAAGCCCATTTCCAGTGATACTGCCGTAAAATTGCTAAAGACGGCGTAAAACCATACTCACAAGCTCCGTTGATCGCAAAACATTCAGCATCAGATTTCAGAAGCTCAGAACATTATGACTTCGATTTTGGACAATTAAAAGAAATTTTCCACGAGTTGAATGTCTGCAGGTCCTCAATAATCCCCCGATAGGTTCGTCAGACAGGGATGGCTCAGCTGATTGCTTATTGATCCCTGATGGCGCCGTTGCTCATGATATCAATCACTGATTTGGCAGACCTTTCCCAAGATGCTCAGTTCAGAAGTATACCTTGTTTCAAAGAGCCTACGAAAGGGCGTCAGATGATCAGGTGGTTTGATTATCATCGTTCCAGAAGGCGTTGGACTTGTTTGCCTAATCGAGATTCGATTGTTTACAGGTCACCGTAATCGAACTGTAATATTGCTGACTCTTGCTTCACACTTCGTCCTCTGTTAAATTAGACAGGATCGTCTGCCCAATGGACAGATCGTCTGCTCAATGGACAGATCGTCTGCCTGAGAGCACTTCTGGCAATATCCCAGCAATATGCATGCAGGGGACACCAGAAATAGTCTTGATACATTGTACCCATGTGGGGAATCGAACCCGTCGTCGGCGTGACGAGAGAACGCTTTCAACACAACTGAACTTGTCTGGCTAGCTATTCTCGAAATGTCCGTAGCCCTACGAACAAAGTTCGTAACGATCAAAGTTAAGAATTCGTCGGGCTACGAACGTTCGTAGCCCTAAGAATTCTTAACTTTGATCGTAGCCAATGTGTTAAGAATGGGCTTAAGAAGTTCGTAGGGCTACGAATGTTTCGTCAAATGTCACGTCAGTGACCCGGGTTCAATTCCCCACATGGATACAATGTGTGCAGTCAATTTCTGGTGTCCCCCGTCGTGACATTGCTGGAATATTGCTAAAAGTTCACTTACGACAGGACAATGACGCGTATCGGATACCACCCATGCGTGGCTATCGAGTACTGCGCTACTCATTGAACACTCTTGTTGCTTATTTCAGCTGAGAACGCATACCCAGGTCTGACCTTGCTGGCCGAGGAGGACTTCAATGTCGCAGATGAGGGAAGACTTGACAGTAACCCTGACAGTGACAGGAAGTCATGAGAAAACCACTGCCATTAAAAAGATAAAGCCAGTTTCAGTCTCTTGTGTTGTTTCACATGTCTTTCTTCTCGAGAAATTATGTTTTATGTGCACCGAGGAGCCCCCATAGTCAGATGTCTAACCGATAGTGTCTACCGGATAGGTGTTGCGTGTTAGAACAGTCCCCAGCAACCCCTATTGCGGAATAAGACCCGTGAAGATCCGGGGTAGAATAGGTCTTCAGCAACCCATGCTTGCCACAAAGGCGACTATGCCTGTCGTAAAAGGCGACTAACGGGATCGGGTGGTCAGGCTCGCTGACTTGGTTGACACATGTCAACGGTTCCCAATTGTGTAGTTCGATGCTCATGCTGTTGGTCACAGGATTGTCGGGTCCAGGATAGATTATGTACAGACGGCCGCCATGAAGCTGGAATAATGCTGAGTGCGGCGTAAAACTAAACTGACTCGCTCACTTAATAATGCGCAGGTTCGCTGACCTGGTTTACACATATCATCGGTTCTCAAATACGTAGATCGATGCTGATCACATGATTGTCGGGTTCAGGCTAGATTATTTACAGACCGCCACCATAGCTAGACTTACTTACAGACCGCCACCATTATAGCATGGGATATTGCATATAGCTGGGATTGCTGAGTGCGACGTAACACTAAACTCACTCACTCACTCACTAATGTGGCATAATGGTTTCAGTGGTCAGACTGACCGACATAACGGCATGTGGCGTTGCTCATGACATCAGTCACTGGATTATCTTGTCCAAACTAGAATATTTTCAGGTTTGTCATTCAGCTGGGCTTTTTCCGAGTGCAGTCTTGCCAAGTGAAATAGCAGCTAGTGTATCCATTTGGCGGGTACATGGGACTGAAGGTCGTTCGTTGGTTCGAATCCCAGATTCTGCCCAGTTATATAGCCCATCAGGTTAAAAATACACCTGGGCTTCATGATACATGTTCTCGGATGGGGTATCCTAGTGGTTAAAGCGTTAAACCCGGGTTCGATTCCCCACATGGGTCGCACATCATTGGTCGGAATGTATATCTAGGGTAAAGTGTCACCACTTATTTCCAAGATGGCGTCACAGTGGGTATAACTGCATATTGCGAGGCGGTGGGGTACCCTAGTGGTTAAAGCGTTCGCTCGTCACGCCGAAGACTTGGGTTCGATTCCCCACATGGGTACACTGTGTGAAGCCCATTTCTGGTGTTCCCCGCCGTAATATTGCTGGAATATTGCTAAAAGCGGCATACAAGCATATCTGGTGTATGCAACAAGACACCTCCAGCTAGTCTAATAGTCCTTTCTGGTCCGTGTGGGGTAGTCTAGTGGTTAATGCGTTTGCTCGCCACGCCGAAGACTTGGGTTCGATTCCCCACATGGGTACACTGTGTGAAGCCCATTTCTGGTGTTCCCCGCCGTGATGTTGCTGGAATATTGCTAGAAGCGGCGTAAAACCAAACTCACTCAATTCTGGTCCGTGTAGATTTCATGTCCGCGTACCCAGGTGCCACAGATCGTATCTCATCCCGCCAGTCACCGGTTTAACTGATCCAGGCTCGATCACTGTCAGCCTTATTATACAAATGAAGCAATACCGGGTTCAACATTTAACACCATCTTTTGATAGTCCTTAATTTAGGGTTCAAGAACAATTCTTCACCTGAATATAGTTTTTATTGAAGGGGACATTCAGAGTAAGTAAAGGCATTATGACGGATCAGAAGGTTACATATGTAAAGTGTTAACATCGTTGTCTTGGGCTAAGAGTTAAGTCAGGTACAAAATAGTTTGTCCAGGCAAACAATTTCTCTGAAAGAAAATAAACACTTCTGGAACAAAATTCTTCGAAAACGGAAAGAAAAGAAAGTTACTTGCTAACTAAAATATCCTCGACTCCTGTGTCCCTCGTTTCTTCGTTTCTCCCACATTCAACCGACACGCCGAAATATGACGAATATTTTTCAAGATAGACCCATTCACACTAAGATGCACACGTGCAAGCCATAGATCTTTAAGATATTTTTCATATCTACTTGATAAACAAACGCTTGTCTTTGATGCTTAAATTGTCCTGCACCCAATGTACAAAGTTAACTGGCACTTTGACAAAAACACACCCTTTGAAATAATCACGATAAAATTCCATCGCCTTTTATATTAACATGCATTCCCTTATTTTAACAATGGAAGACAGGGTGGATTATTCGGGCTGAATCAAAAGACATTAAACGACCATTTGCACATCACATGTGATAGCATATCGACGGACCCAGTACCGTGTCGGAGAGTGTTGTCTTACTCACATATATCAATGTAAGTATCTTGAGATGAGAGAAAACAAACCGAGATATTCCGATAGAACAAAGCCGAGATATCCGATAGAACAAAGCCGAGATATTCCGATATACACCTCGCCTGAAGCCGGAGACCTAGGGCTTTATATGCACTTAGCTTACTCTGTCGGTACCGGTACAGTCCTACCCAAAACTGGCATTGCTTTCATTACTAATTTCTATTGGTAAATGTCCCCGTATCGGTGGGATATAAGTGTATTTGTTTGATCGTAATGGACATTTAGTCAATGCATCCACAGACATGTCTCCGCTTAGAATTCTCTCTTGAGGAGGGTACTAGGAAATATCAGATATGAAGTGATCGATGCATTAACATTTTTGATATGTCATTTACTTTGTACCCGAAAATACATCTCAGTGGTATATATGGGTCGTTCTAATTTCATACTTGAAACAAATCGCAATCATGGTTCAGTAAATACGATTATTCCAAGCATTATTTGATTTGTATGCAACTCGAGTTTTGCTAGGGATATTCTGAATGTACTTGTAGGGGCTAAAGGTGACTGGCTCAATAGTCAAATTAGTGTTATTCAATATTGACAAGGGCCTTGTTCAACGAACGGGTTTTGACATTACTTTGGTCGTTTTGGGGTTTTTGGTCTGTTTAACGCCGCAATATTCAAGCTTTATGACGACTGTATGTAAATAATTGTGTCTGGAGCAGACAATCCGGTGACTGACCCAATGAGCATCAATCTGCGCAATTGGGATACGATAACATGTTAACGAGCCTGATCACCCGATCTCGTTTGTCACCTTTTACGACAAACATGGGTTGTGGAAGGCCAATTCTTACCCAATTGGTTGACACATGTCATCGGTTCCTAATTGCGCAGATCGATGCTCATGCTGTTAATCACTGGATTGTCTGGTCCAGACTCGATTATTTACAGACCGCCGCCATATAGCTGGAATATTGCCGAGTGCGGAGTAAAACTAAACTCACTTACTACATGCCATGTTGCGGATCCGCAAACCTTTGCAGATTTGCGTCACTCTGGCACGCCAGAAACCCGTCATTGTGGGTTCGAATCGCGGTGACCGTTTCCTTGATGTAGTGGTTAGAAAGACGTTAAAATATGGTACTTGTGGGTCCCTGACTGACGTTCGGCATTGATGGGTATAACAAGGACTGTTCGGCTTGGAGTCAATATTATGTGTCTGAGTGGGGAATTGATGCTTCACTGTGGCATGGTATCTAAATGAGCTAGCACGCTATAACCATCTTAAGTCTGGGCTAGTACAAGCAACCACACATACACACGCATGCACGTCGTCATATGAGCAAAATAATCTGAAGAACAGCGTTAAAACCAATTTCACCTCACCTCACCTCATACGCCCAGTGGAATCTGTCTCCGTCGAGTCTGGTTATTCCCTGGCGTTGTTATTTTGAATTATACATGCATACAGGTTTAGAACATAATTGCTCGGGAAGTAGGGTTTCTGGACAAACGATGTCTTTCGAATTCCACAGCATTTTTTACTGGACAAAAGCATTTACATAAACCGTGCGTTAAAATATCGTATAATAATAAAATATTCGTTCTAAAGGTACCAGAATAAATTGATACATGGCGTCATTTCTTTACACATGCATAGACAATGTATGAATTTAGAATAAATAGATAATTTGTGTGTGTGAAGGTCAACAATCGATTATTTGGGTAAACGTGGCTGATCATCTATAGTCTCTACTCAGACACTATGTACTGCTATTCGACTTACTGCATAAATGCATTCCCTCTTACAAGTGTACTTCCGTTGTACTGCCACCACATGCGAATGGTCTCCGACTGTCAAGACACCATAATCTCTCAACTGGCAATCTAACAGAAAACTCTCAAAGACAATGTGGATTCTTTCTTCGTCTGAATGTATATTTTCATATAATTGTCGACTTTGTGGTCGTAAATACGGGAGGTGTTACAGGGTTGTGAAATCTTTACGCCAGATGTCACGTCGAAGATCCGGGGTCGATTCCCCGCGTGAGTACAATATGTGACGCCCATTTCTTGTGTCCCCCGCCGATATATCACTGGAATATTGCTAACAGCTGCGTAAAAAACATAGTCACTCACTCGCTGTATGTCGGACAAGTCTTTATACTAACATCGGATGGCCACAACGTCGACAGTGACATCTCGTACCATACCCTAGCTTATCCCCGCTCAGCTAATTCGCAGCTTCATTGTAGTATTGCTGATTACGGAAAGAGTTTTTTTATTCAGTGTTAAGCGGTTTTCTATCGCAATAAATAATGTTTTTAAATACTCATGAAAAGCTCGAAGTTGTCACCCTTAAACGTGACAGGATCCGCTCCGATTATGATTCTTTTTCATGAAGCCCACACGCCGTGATATAACTAAAATATTATTTGAAAGGCGTTAGTTCCCCACTCACTATTGGATAAATGTTCTGATTGTCTACCACTCTTTGAATGAGACTTAGGGCGGTGGGGTAGCCTAGTGGTTAAAGCGTTCGCTCGTCACGCCGAAGACCCGGGTTCGATTCCCCACATGGGTACAATGTGTGAAGCCCATTTCTGGTGTCCCCGCCGTGATATTGCTGGAATACTGTTAAAAGTGGCGTATAAACTAAACTAAACTCATTGAATGTGACTAAAATTATCATCAAGATGAATACCTAAATTTTCAAAATATGTATTAAT